GAAGATGCTTATGAGCAATGGCGTCAGTTGCACATCAGGCCTTCAAATTCCAGAGGCCCACTAGATGTCCCATGCTGCTAGTAGAAAAACTGTTAGCAGAAAAACATTCCCAATCTACAGGAGTCAGAAAACTACTCAAATCCATCCTACTCTTGGGGCAGACCATATCAGTCCTGCACCCCTATAAAGACCTTGGGTTCATGTTAGTCAAAACTATACCCGGTAATGGTCTGTCCACGACAACAAAGAGCTAGTTTGGTGTAGTGGTTAAGTGTGCAGACTCTAATCTGGGAGAACGGGGTTTGAGTCCCCATGCCTCCACTTACAGCTGCTGGATGACCTTGGGCAAGCCATAGTTCTGTCAGAGTTGTTCTGAGAGCCAGTTTGGTATAGAGGTTAAATGTGCGGACTCTAATCTGGGAGAAGTGGGTTTGAGTCCCCACTCCTCCACTTGCAGCTGCTGGATGACCTTGGGCAAGCCATAGTTCTGTCAGAGTTGTTCTCTCAAGGACAGCTCTGGAAAGAGCTGTCTCAGCCCCGCCTACCTCACAGGGTGTCTGTTGTGCGAAGGGGAAGAGAAAGGAGTTTGTAAGCCACTCTGAGTGAAGGGCGGGGTATAAATCCAATCTCCTCTTCTTCAAAGTACATTGCAGCATTGGTTGCATGAGCAAGGCTGGTACTCGTGTGCTTCCCTTACTAAGCATTGACATATTTATTTAAGACAGGGTTTTACGTATGTTTCCCACTCGTATGATCACCTGCTTGGACAGGAAAGGGGTAGATGAATGACAGAGTGTCCTGGCATACAGATATTTCATTCAGTCGACTACAGCATATGGCTGGTCTAGCGACCGTAATAAAATTCTATACTCAGTCAACTGCGGATAAATATTGTATAGTAGATATTTTTCATTTTATACTTGGAACTTTTAGATGATTTCTGGAGATGTTCACACTTCCTTCTCCTGTGTATCAATGAACCATCTTCTGGAGAGCTGTGTTGTTTTATTTTAAAATGATGCCCATTGTAAACACTGTCTACAGTTAAGACTCTGCTGTCTTTTCTGAGCTGTGTTATTTTGCATAAAGCTGCAGAAGACATAATGTTTCCATGGAATTGCAGAATAGCTGGCAGAGGCTATTAAAGAAACACACAGGAGAAAGTGAGAGAGAGAGGAGAGTAAATTAAGCTTACTTTTGAAAGGACTGTTTCATGAAACAACATGAGTTCTTACTGCTCCAAGATGAGTCACAGTAATATTTCACCCTCAGTGCTCTTCATCAGAATATAAGCTAAATCTGCTGTGTGTTTCTTACTGATAATTCTATAAATCTGTTGTATCATGCATACCAGGATGGACATCATTCTATCATAATGAGAGAGTCTTATGGCTTTACACACATGGGCAAGAGCATGCAATGACCACACAATTATGAGATAATAAAAGATCCCCTAACTTATGCAGATTTAGATTTTGAACAAGCTTATGGACTCTGCTGTTGAGGGGACTGATGGACTATCAGTTCTTAATATTGTCCCTAGAGCTTTACAGTCTGCTGGAAAGCTGAATGAACAGACATAAAGAGTATTCTGGCTTGGTGTCAGATTTTCCCTTAGGGTTCTTGCATTAGACTTTTAAATATGAGAGCTTTGGGCACATGTAGAAAAAACATAGCTTTAAAAATACTATTTGCTTACTGTTAATTTCCTCTTGGTCTACATCTGTATGCCGTCTGTGACCCGCTAAGAATCTGTTAAACAAACAAGCTAGTAATCCCAGTTTTTGAATAATTCAAAATAAGTATGCTGAAAACAAGGCAATTTGCATCTCCACAGATCTGGCCACCTAAGAAGTATCTTGTTGCTTTTCATATAGTATTAACTACTGAAAGCATCTTGACATTTGGAGGTAAATGTTTTTGTGCTTACCAAATGGAAGCAGAATTTTAGAACAATGAAGGCACATTAGAACCAAACTCTGAATGTTTTGGTCTGATTACTGCTGCTGTGGTTTACTTTGCCACAGTAAAAACATGTGGAAACACCTAATCAGTCATTATAGTTGTACTTGGAGTAAGGCCCATTGTGGAAGAAATACAACGAGCTTTAGAAGGAAGCTCCAGGTGAGTGTCCCGGCTGTGGCTGGTGGGGCAGCAGAGGGAAGGGGGAAATAGAGGGAGGCAAGCCATGTTTATTTCCTTCTGCTTAGCTATAAGGCAGGGCTGTCTCAAGTCATTTTGCTGCCCCAAGTGGGTAGTATGGGAGGACAGCCTCATGGTAACAGGTATGGTTCCCTCCACCCCTAACTTATGTTGATTTGGGGTTATGTAGGGGCAGCTAACGTAGAAAAGCACCTCCTTCTATGCCATGTCTTCTGGGTTCTTAGGGTCTGGAAAGCGGTTCCATAGCCAGTTACAGGGTTGCCAACTCTTGGTTGGGAAATACCTGTAGATTTGAGGGGTAGAGCTTGGGGAGGGCAGGGTTTGGGGTTCGGAGGGACCTCAGCAGGGTATAATGCCATAGAGTCCATTGCCCAAAGCAATGGAGAACTGATCTTGGCGATCTTCAGGAGAACTGATCTTGGCGATCTCCAGGTACTGCCTGGAGGCTGGCAATTCTAAGGGGAGGGTCAGACCAGTAGATTTGAGGGGTAGAACCTGGGGAGGGCAGGGTTTGGGGACTTCAGCAGGGTATAATGCCATAGAGTCCACTGCCCAAAGCAGCCATTGTAATAGCTGGGAAATTTTCTGTAGGGGAAATGATGTGCTGTGACTGGGGAACACGGTGATTTCTGGGGGATATCCAGGCCCCACAGGGAGATTGGCAACTCCAGTGACCTCTTAAGGGAAGATTGGGATATGTATTTTGGCAACTCCAGTCACAGTTTAAGGGAAGATTGGGATATGTATTTTACCTCAGGGTACATTGAATTACTTCGAACAGCAACAGCAAACTGTTTAGAATGTTAGAGGCAAAGGCCAATCAGGCCGCATATGCAAATTACCTCTGTGTTCCAACTGGCTACTGGGGGGAGAGGAACAGCAAACTGTTTAGAATATTGGAGGCGAGACTCAGGCAACGCAGCCAGTGGATAGGGACAGCTTCTGAGTGACAGTTCAGGGAGCCAACTGATTTGGGAGCATGTGGAATGTTCATACCAAAATACAATTATATATAAGGAGATATGCCTTGTGTAGTCATATCCTATATTTTTCATTCCTGGCTTGTTTTTTATTTTTATAGACTAAATTTTTGTTTTGTAGCAAACTGATACTGAGGAATGCAGTAGCAGGGTTGCTCACACATGACAATTTCCATTTATTGTTCAAGACCATTTCATGTGCTAGTTGTTGGGGGGGGGGTTTGCAGAGGACACCATAATCTTGCCATCCATCTACAGGAGGCAGGAAGAAGATGGAAAGTGGAACAGGGCATGGAGCCACATGAGACTGAGTACCCCCACTGCAGAGGTGATGGATGATAGGTGCTTCAAGCCAACTGTTTCCCTCATCCTGCAGTGAGGCCTCCCCAAGAGCATCAGTGGCTTGTTAGTGAAGGCTACTTTGGAGTAAGGGTCTGCTCGCAATTCCATGCAT